TCACCAGAGGACTCCCTGCGGAAAAGCACGGCGGCTCCGGGCTTACTGGTGAAGGAAAGCAGACTTAAAATTCAAAACCTAATTTATCTTTAAAGTATTTAAATGTGTGGGAAGGTTTCTACACACTTTCCCCTTATGCATCCCTACGACTCTTGCCATCTGAAGTGTGGAAAATACTGTTTCTAAACCTGCTGGCTCTTGTCAGCGGTGGTGTTCGTGGGAGGGCGTGACGGATTTCTTCTGGGTAATTCTAAGTCAGAACAAGAGCCGTTTTTAAATTGTCCTTCATACAGCAAATAGGATTATATATTCTGCATATAATTAAAAAAATCTGCTAGTTAATAAAAGAAATATAAGACTTCTGTCTTAGATATTATATTCTTTATTGTAAAGTTATTAAAATTCAGGTGTCCTTTAAGTTAAGCTAGAAAGGACACAAAGCACCTAGAGCACCAGGATGGCCACTGAGGGACAGGAATCCTACTTCATTCTACAAACTCCACTTTATAGGTCATTCTATAATTTAATATGTATATATATGTGTATCATACCAACTTAGAAGGCGTTCAAGGGTTTCAAAAATCCCCATGTTCTCAAATAATCACATTTGGAATTGCTGCGATCAGACATTTATTTCTACACTTGAATCACGCACGGGGAGTGACTCACACGGACGCGGGAGGCCGGCTCCTCTCTTCAGGGCAGGGCTCCGGAGCCACTGGTTTCCTCTCAGGGACGCGAGGAGACCTGGCTGAGGACAGCCGTGCAGGCTTGCGGACGGGCCCTGCCTCACCGCCGCCCTCGTTATCTCCCCCGGGTTATTCAAGTGCTCAGGGAAACACTGAATTCAGTCCAATCTGTCACACTTCCAAAGTCAGACCAAAAAAGGCAGACATAGTAATATTTTAGAATTTAATAATTCTAATTATTTTTTATTTATTTAATATAGAATTATATTTAATTCTAAATTAATAATTTAGAAAACCCACATTAATAGTTTATGTTCTTTAATATCTTACTGAATAGAACAGTAAGAAATAACCATCGCTTTAAATGGCATACTCTTCCTAATATGGATACGTGTGTGTGTGTCTCTCGTCTTGGCAAGGACCTGTGTGTCTCAGGGTGCCCTACACGCGACAGAAAGCACAGCATTTGGAGAAGACTCTTTTCCGATAGAAAATGCAGTAAGCATAAGGTTCACAGAGCTTTCTTTATTTTACCTTAAATATAGTTGAATTTTAAAAAGCTTCAATAAATTCAATGATTTAAAATAATCAGAGATACCAACACATTTTTTCATGGTCCAGAAATGATTCCACAGATTTTCTTTAGCAAAGTTACTTGTAATAAAATTTTCATATTTATATTCTTAGGTAATCATTTGTATTTTCTCTCTATATAAATACTGTCAATTTGTCTAGTGAATTCTGGGAGGAAAAAGGAAGGTATACATTAGTGGTAGTTCTTTCAAAAAAAAAGAAAAAAACAAAAAAAGAAAAACCACCCTGGATTTTAGAAATGGAAAGGGTTTTAATGCCCCCAGCTTCTACCGTTGTAGTAGGTAAGGGAGCAGAGTGGGGCCGGCCCAGCCCGGTGCACCGGGCGCCCTTCGCTGTGCCCCACGGAGCCCGCTGGCCCCGATGGCGCGGGGCACTGACACCCCAAGCCTGTTCCCGTGGAACAGAAGTGTGGGCAGAGCCAGGAACCACCTCTGGTGGCTGCACTTGAAAGTCCTCCCTCCGTGAAGGATGCCCAAGTTAACACCAGGATCTCCCCGCTGCACGGAAAAGAAAATGGGAATATAATTTTCCCCCTCATTTTTGTATAGAATATTCTGGAGATGGAATTTAACAGAGCTGAAAAGTCAGCCTATAGACCCGCCCGTAGAAACGCGTCATGGCCCGTTTCTCCCCGAGGCGCTGGGTCAGAAGACCTCTCAAAAGACACACAAGTGCCTGTCTGCTCCTTCCTCAGCACCAGTCATCAGCCAACGAGCCCAGGATTTTAACACGACAGACGGAACCCCGAGGCCCCCAGGTGGGCTGGCCTGCTGGACACGGGGTTACACGCAGGTGACTTTGTCACTCTGCCGCAAGCATGCCCGGGGTGGGGGGAGAGAAGCGAGGGGTCTGGGCTTCCGTGGCGTTAGACACAAAAAATACAGCCCCGTGGAGCGGCTGGGCTGGAAACGCACGCGCCACCTGGCGATAGAGACCCGCCCCTGAGGCTGGCCGCCGCTGTGGGAGGCTCAGGCTGGGCGGGCAGCGGCAAGCAGGGGGACCCGCTGCCTTCACGCTTCCACGCAGACAAAATTAAACGGTGCCGAGTTGAAAAACAATTGCTTTTTAGCCCTTCAGCAATACTTTTTAATTAGTTTTAAATGTTAGTGGTTCCTGTAATGAACTTAGAATAGAAATATATTTAAATAAATAATTTTTAGGGATTGTTGGCATTTACGATTCTTGGTTGCGTGGTCTGAGCACACTAGAGTTGACGTCAGGAAGAAGTAAATATCCGGGCTTGTTAAGCTGCAACAGCCCTGGATTTTTACCCTGGAAATCTTTTTGAAATAAGTAGGTCCCACGTTTCCTACGTTTTAATTTATATTATTTCAAACGGCAAGAGCCTTTACTTCCTTACCATTTTAAAAAACAGATTGAATTTACCGTCTTACTGAGTCCGCTCTTGTTTGCTAATTTCCATCCTAGCACTGAAACCAACATGGGTTGGCCCCTAAGGTTGGGATCTGGGCTGGAAGGCTGGTCCGGGCGGGTAGTTCCCCCGACACTTCCCAGGCAAAAATCACTGCGGCTTCTAGGGGCCTGGGGTGATTGGAAAAGGAAATGGGTTGGATATGCTGAAATCCAGGCGCTATTACATTTTTTAAAATTTTAAGTCCTATCAAGTGTTACTGGTGAGGTAAAGCCTCTTTTCAGTAAAGACATCCTCCATCTGGAGCGAGGGGACAGCAGGTGCGGGCAGCCCCTCCCCTCCCACGCCCCACCTAGAACGGGCCTTGACCACAGCGATTTATTTCTCAAGTGATCCCAAGAGCCAATACTTTCACTTAACGTTGACGATGGGAAGGCAATTCAGAGTGTGGTCATTTTGGGACATGGCCGGCAGTCTCTAACGAGGAGGTAATTTCTACTACATCTTCGTCCATCACAGATGTAAAAAAAAAAAAAAAAAAAAAAATCCACCGTTAGGAGGTTGCATTTTTATTTTAGAAAAAAAGTGAAAAATAAAAATTTCAAGACCAATCAAGATACACGTAGATATTGCTTAAATCTAAGCTGTCAACCCTCATTGACTTTCCTCGGAGAAACACCACGGATATGACATCCACCATCAGCGACCAGAACCTCAAATTCCACGGTTTCCATTCGAATAATCAAGGAACGCAATTCAGAAGTCATATTACATCCTGCATTTTATTCATTTCCATATGACAAAAATAGTAACCTAGTCTAAGACATCCATTTCAATCAGTAGATGTGTCGAGCCACAGATTTATCATAAAAAATATTGGATCTCGGTAAGAACGCCGGCTGGCTCCGGGGGCCCCAGCCCTACATGGTGCTGCAGTAGAAAAATAGTCTCTCTTGACCACGCAGAGAGGGACGGCCTGGTCCTGAATACAGAAGGGGGCGCGCCTCGCCATCCCTTCACGAGCCATCTTATTTACAACACTTTACATTTCTTTTTTAAGTTATATACACATCCTTCTGGGATAAGAGAGAACACTACATGGTACCAAATCCTAACCAAAAAAAAAAAAAAAAAAAATCACACCATCAAGGACACATAAATAATGAAATCATTCCACCGCGGACACAGTAGTGCTGAAGGGGTCAGTGCTGGGTTCGGACAGGAGGAGACCGCTACGCCGGCGGAGCGAGGCGTCTTCAGGACACAGCGACGTGGCACGGTGAACGTGGGTGTGGTCGCGTGGGAAGGATTGTCCTGTGTTCCTGTTTTAGCTGAGAAGACACCGCTGTCCGGTTCCTGCTCCGGGGCGTCTCGGGGCCGGCGCCGTGGGAGGAGGCGCGCCGTCCCAGACTCCAGCACACTCGCAGCGCACAAAATGAGGTAGCACAACACCGCCCGTGTGGGCCCCGACCCCGACCCCGACCCCGCGCCCGCCAGCGGTCCCCTTCCTTACGCCCAGCCGTTTAAACAAAGTCAGCAGCTTCAGACTGTATTTTGAGCGATCGGACGACATTGTGCTTTGTTTTCATCTGAGAAGATAATAAATAAATCAGAAAATGTCCCAGTGGTGACTGATTCTACTGCCAGACATCGATCTTTCTGTCCAGTTTACTGTACATGAGATCCGGTGCTCGGAGGCAGTCAGAATCCTGTCTGGGTGTGAGAGGACGGGGAGGCTGCGGGAGCACCAGACCCTCACAACGTTCTCTGAGCCCGCTAGCTCCCCGCGGTGCCACGGTCCTAGGATTAATTCATCAGAGTTGTGTTAGGGGTGGTCAGGGTTTTAAATGGGCTTTGTAGAAAAGTTAAATAAATCATTTTAATTTAAGAAATGGCAGGCCCTAGTTTACTGAGGAACAGACAAGTCTTGGTGGCTTTTCTGTTTAAGTGGCATAGATTTCTCATAGTGTTCCACCTTAAGACAAAACAAGAAACTGTGACAGTTTTTTTCTTCACTTTCCTTAAACCAAAGTACTATTTATAAAATACTTTACATCTTTTTAAGTTTTCAAATTATAGACAAACCTCCCTAATACAAAATACTAAAAGTGCAATAGTATAAATTAAGAGTTCGCAACCACATTATACAAACATTACCTTTTTATTGTACAACTTTGATAATGTGAACTATTTCCTCACAACTGCTTATAATGTTGTGAATAATTTATGGTGATGCTCGTCTGTAACTTGTTCCCAATCACTGGGCTACAGACCACACTTGGGAACAATTGTCCACATAGCAGCTACAAACATTTAAATTAAAAAAAAAAAAAAAAAAAGGAACAACAAAAAAAGGCTTGTCATTGACAGGAACTTGCACACGAAAGCATGCGGTCTTTCCCAGTGGGACTTCACAACTTGTCTGCATTGAAATAACTCACTTATTTATAGTAAAACAAACTCTGCTTTAAAAAAAAAAATCACATAGCCAGATGTATTCTGCAGTACAAAAGCTTCCTTTAAAGTTGGGGCTGTATTATCTGTTACCCGCATAATCTCAGCATTATAAATACTACAGACGAAGGTACTGCTAGAAGACAGCGCTGGGAGTACCGGACCACATCCCCAATAGTCTAAAAACAGAGTTCAAGTTTCTAACTAATTAGAACAAAACCTTCGAGTGAGTGTTGCTGGGACACGCAGGGGACCCCTCTCTCCCTCACGGGGGTTATTAGGTTTTGGGAGGAACGACGTGGATGTGGTTTGAGCCCTTTCCATTCCCAAGGCGGTTTTACAAGGACTTCTCTTTTTGACTTAAATTTATTTAACAGGTTACAGAGTTCCCAAGAAGAGTCAAGCTCACTGTGGAAAGAGTACCATGCAGTGCGTCCGAGACAACCTTCCAGCAGCCACACAGTGAACGTGTTTTCCGCTACGGGTAACATCTTAAGGGGAACTGGGGCACAGGGCCTCGCAGCCTGATGGTCGCACTTGACGGTGTGTGCTCGGGACAGAGCAGATGGGCGGAGCCCGAGCACAGCTAGTTAATACCAATCTCCTTGTTATCCTCAATAAACCTCGTGAATGGACGGCTGGCGCCCGATTCGGAGTTCGCCTTGTCCAAACCCACGATGGGTGGACTACCGCCGGTGCGCGCTTTGTCCATCCCGGCGGTCAGAGAACCCAAGGGGGGGATGGCGCTTCCACCGAGACTTACTGGGAGCTGGGGAATGCCGCCATTCTGGATGACAGAGATCTCATTGTTCTTCATGGCCAGACCGTTTGTGATAGCTGCAGCATACTGGTTCCAAAAACTTGGGTCAACGTTCATTGCTCGCGCTGCCAGATCCTTCTGAAACATTTCTGAGAACTTCAGGGCATCACCACCCAGCAGAGCCATGGGGTTTTCCACCGACAGGCGGCGGCCGCGCCTCGCGGGGGCGTTATTCCACATGTGCGTGCCCATGTGCACCTGCGTGGGAGACACGGAGAGACAAGGCACAGGTAAGCAAGCCCAGCACCGCAGAGCGGTGCGCGTCTGTCTCCACGCGGCCCACGTGTTGCCCAGAAACCCAGCACAGTGGTTTCGGAATCGGTTTCTGTTTGCCGTTCCGAGCATCAGTTAGGGAAAACGAAACACTGTTGGGTGAGCTTTTCTGAGCATCGTATATTTAAATATGCAGTATTTCTCTTTCTACAAAAAGCAAAACCAGTCACTGTCTTCATGCATGTTTCTTTCACTGGATGAGCTTGACACAATAAGGTTCCCCCATACGGTGGACAGTCCACAGGCCACCCGGGAGGTTGCAGAGCTCGGAGGGCACAGAGCCTTTTGCCCCTCCTGCCTCTGCCCTGCCCCCCTGGAGGGCCGTGTACTTGAACTCCCAGCTTCCCTGGGCCCCACAGTCACTTTCCCCCTGACGCCGAAGAAGCACCTGGGGCCCGTGTGGCCAGCAGAGACTTCCGGCGGCTCCTGTCCTACCAGGAGGGAGCGGCCACAGGTTTCGAGCTGTTCACCGTCTCTGAAAAGTGCACCGCGGCCCGGACAGGCACGTGAGGTGGACAGAAGGGGGCATGTTTAGCTAAGAGCGCTCATTTAGCATCTTGTCCACACCCCACCTTCCAGGGAGAATGGACAGTGTGGTTGTAATCTTAAACAGGAATCCTACACTGGCCCTCACGCTGGGAAGCTTCTCCCCAAACGCCGGCCGGCCCCTGTCGGCAGCCAAGTGGACGAAGGCAGAACCGAGTTCTGGCCTGTGCCCAGGATGCGCATTATTTTATCTTGAGCGAGTGTTTAAAAGCCCAGCTTGTCCTGTTGTCCTGGTTCCGCCAGATTCAAGACGGCGCCAGGCCCCGCGACTGAGCGCCCAGGAGCAGAGCCTGCGGGGTTGGTCGGCCCGCAACTGGCGGCGCGAGCCCC